ATATTTTCCAACTTTCAGCCTAATGTCAGGCACAATATATAATGGAAATCGTAGTGTGAATATAGACATCATTTTGGCACTTCAAAGTTGAGACAGCTTATGTTTACATCGTTATCGAAGGTATGAATATATACACACACACTGTATGATCAAACAAACCACAGAACCATTTGCGTTAAATTGTGACGTTTTAGTTCCTCTCAAATACTACCACTTGTTTAATACGAAAACCCCTTGTCTGCTTCATGTGACAGTTTAATATCAGTCTCAGATGAACATGCATTTTTATAGCAGAAATAGACGCACAGAACGATTGCTGTTTGTATAGCTTAATTGTTACATGTCTAAAAATAGGTACGCAGTGCGTACATGTTGCATGCCATCTGAAACTTAGCCTGAATACAGACCTTCGTTTTTCTCGCCCTAAAATTCGCGGGTGTGAGGCGTAAAACGAAGGTCTGATGAAAATCATGTCAAAACGCTGTAAAATGTGACCGCCTGGTGGTCGAAATAGCTGATTGGCTAATTCACAGGGAAATGGGTTGTGATTGGTTGGTCGCTAAACATGAAAAGATTTGAAAATATCAGAATATATTTCAACGGTATTCTCAACGCATATACTATGCATATAGTGTAACATTCTAAATATTTTGTGAAGCAGAACAATAAATAGCTAGCAGTATCTACCGTCTAAAATTAAAACTAGAGCGAGAGTAGAGCAGACTTGTCAAATACTTCAGCTTTGTGTCATTCCGTTGTAATATAGGCCAAAAAAACAATAATTTTTACACTATTTACGTTTTGTGATAATCATAATAAAACTGATACAATTATACACACAACCTCGTGCCCAGGGTATTTGCTCTTGGGGAGCGAAATACCCTGGTATGGCCTGGTCACGTGACCCTCGCATTTTGCGTAAAATGGCGTATTGTTTACTAGGGTCGGGGGAGTGAGTATACATTGTCACTCCTAGTAATTAAAATTTAAAAGCGTGATATAATTACTAGGAGTGACAATGTACACTCACTCCCCCGACCCAAGCAAAATCCGCGGGTCACGTAACCAGGCCATACCAGGGTATTTCACTCCCCAAGAGCAAATACTCTGGGTACGAGGTTGTTATACACATAGACCTATGTGTCAGTGCAATAGTGCGTTTAAATTTGAATTTCGATAACATAGCATGTACAAAATATTCTATTTAGATTTTAGCATTGTATAGCGATTTCAAAAAGTATAAATTGTAAGAGTTACATGAAAATATGTCAATTATCATCGTTAATTATTGCAAAATGCAAAGTGGGCGGTAGAGCGTTTTGTATTATACAGCTCAGTGGTTTTGACATAATTTTCATCAGACCTTCGTTTTGCCCCTCCCACCCGAAAATTTTAGGGTGAGCAAAACGAAGGACTGTATTCAGCCTATCTGAAACTTCAACCTAATACTCAGGGTTTTTACTTCCACCCCGAGTATCAGGTTGCTGACACTTATGATGCGCTATAGCGCTTATAACCTTTGCTACAACTGGTGTGAAACTTAAAATATTGATTAAATAAGTTTAATATCAATATATTTATTGACAAATAGCTAAATAGCTATTATGTAAAAATAAGAAAACTTAAGATTCTCACGCTAATTAGCCAACGGTGCAGACTCCAGCAGAAACACGCGAACAGGCAATGTTTTTATAAGCGACCGTTAATAGTTAGTTGCAAGCGACGGTAATAATAACATTAACAAGGTCAACGTTAGCCTGCGTACAGGCTATCTGAGGGTGAGGGACAGCCTGCAACTATCACCCCATGTTTTCGATCTTCGCCGGCCGAACCGCCGGCTAAATTCCCATTGGCTAGCTGAGGCTATCGGTAAATAATTAACCTAGCCCGCGTGCAGGCCCAAGGGAACAGTGATTCATCACAAAGGCATAGACAAAGGCTCTCGATAAGTTTAAAATTTGAAAATTGATCACTTTTTTCGATTACAAATGGAACAAGAACAGACTGTTTATTGTTTACTTGAAGGAAAACATGTTTTTGCCGTTATGCCAATGGGGATTGCTTGTCGTGAGGTGTTGGAATAGCAAATTACGACTGGGGTAAACTATAGTAACCTTTACTTGAGTTTCATTAATTTCAAACAGACTTCAGTTGATACGTTATGTGTTCTCACTTCCTCAAGAAAATTATCTTTTGGTTGATGTTGAGATGCAGTTGCATGTAAGGACTGTAAGCCTATTCGAAACTGACTTTGCGATTTACAAGGCTTCGCTGAGAGAGCGAAACAGAAGGCGGTATAGCCTGCATGGCAGGCGGTATTTCTACGGGCAGCGAAAATTAGGGAAGGTATTTCCTACCGGTACCGCCTGCCATGCAGGCTAAAGGCGGTATTAAATTGCCGTTTGAAACGAAACGAAACGATCTGGACTCGGAACGCTCTCTTCTTTTGTAGAGTTCTTTACCAAATTAAATAAATTTCGTACTTTCCGCCGCCAACAAGAATTGCACACACGATCTGATAAGTGAGACAATTTATTTATAACAATGCCAATGGCGACAGCGAAGCACACATAATATAAATCCTAATGTGGTCGCACGACTTCCCTCATGATTTGAAGTTTGAGACTGGTTTTCTGTTGAAATTCGTCTTAATTTGCCTGTTCCGATTTTAGTTGAAAATGAGCACTTGCAAATTTGGCAATTACTGACTGCGTTGCTTGCTTTTTTGGAGTTAAAACGCAGCCATTTACACATTGTTTATTAGTGTTCTGAATAAGCAGAGAAAACCCCGCAACATTTTAATGCGAGTTTGTTTGTTAATATTTGGGTGCTGTCATTTGTTCTTTTTTGACAATTGACGCGCGAATGGGGCGTGTTATAAAAAGGGGCGTTTTACAAAATACTGGGCCTTGCTTGCAGGCCCACTATCAGTACCCTTGGGCCTGCACGCAGGCTAGGTCAACGTGGGTCAAGGTTTTACCGAAAGCGATTGACTGTTAGATTTCCCTTACAATTTAGCTTTATTGTAACTTTTTAAATTAAAGCTATAAAAACCCGCGGAAACGGTGAATTACTATAGTAGATTGAAAATGATTATTTATCATTTTGACGTTTGAGTGACTGAAATGAGTCAACTTAAATTAATTTAGGTGGTCTTACACAACGCAAAGTGGTGTTGAGTGAAATTTGCCATTTTTCAAAAATGGAAAAAATACAAACTTTAAACCCTACTTAATCATATTTGTACCATTTTATTGCTCAAAAATACCTAAAAACCCTGAAAATTTAGCAAATTCGATAAATTTACACTTAGCAACGCCCATAGCAACCAGATGTTTGCCTCTTTGAAAGCGTTCTAGGTCTAGAATAATTTATATTTAGATCAGTTTTTACCCCTCCCTTTCAAGTATACTGTATTGAAGTATTCCCATGTTAGCTTTGCTCCCGCTGGTCAGTCTTCATTATTTTTCAAATCAAAATTCGAAGCCATATTTGTGTCGAAAAAGTAAAATTTTTTAATAACTTTTGGTCGCTGTATTTGTGCTTTTTCGCCGAATTTACTTCTCTTTGTGGACTAATCGTCTTTTGACAATGGTAAGGGAAAGATCGTAAAGAGGAAAGAGAAAATTCCATGGGAATCGGCTCGTAAATGTTGCAGAGAAAACTTGTGTTGACTGTATTGAGCAACCAGTGAGTTTCTAGTGAGTCGGTTGCTAATCTCTCTGCTTCGGCGAGAAAAAAGGTCAGTCTTGTAGCTTTGATGCTACCAGTAGCAGATCCAAAGATGAAGAGCCTAAAATAACTGCTTATTGTTTCATTGATGTGTAATAACTGAATGAACTTTTGCAGCAAGTGTCATTGTAACTCATTGTAAGTTATGTGGAGAATCTAGTCTTAGTCTTAAAAATGATCCTTGGGAAAGAATAGGTTGTGCTACTCATCTTCGGTTGTGTTGTGATAAATGTGGCTGGGTTTATAGCTTTTACATAAAAAAGTCAAACATTTTTTTTATGTAAACAGAAGACTTGTTTATGCAATGAGAAAGCATTGTCATTGGACAAGGAGAAGCTTCTGTAAGACGTTTCTGTTCCCTAATGAATATTCCCCCACCACCGAAATCTTCTTCTTATTCAGCTTATAATGATACCTTGTTGAAAGCAGCCAAGACTGTGGCTACTGATTGTGACGAATTTAAATCCGCCTGTGTGGGTGTCGGCAAATATAACTTCATATACAAAAAAAGTTTAAATATATTTTTCTATCATTTGTTTGATATAACTAAAAACTAAAACTATCACAGTGTAAATCCTATACCATTGTTGTTAACTGTCTCTCAAGCTACGATACTTGCGTCCTTTGGCGAGTTGTTCCTTCCCGTTGTTTCTTCAGCTAGTCCTGACAATCCCGATTTTGAGAGCGCTCGTTAAGTTTACCAGGGTTTTGATAACGATCCCCGCTGTCAATTCCACTACATCGATCTCCAAATAACTTCGTCTTCACACGTTTACAGCTGAGTGTGTTGCTCAAGTCACTAAAGACTATACCAGAGCGTTTGATCATTGAAGACCCACGTAGTGTATTGCTCAAGTCACTGAAGACTATACCAGAGCATTTTGATCATTGAAGATCCACCTTTCCCATATAATGTAAAGTGCGACGTTGATAACGTATATTTCTTTCGTTTTACTTTATCAAGTTATTTTATCAGTGTGTAGACCACTCCTTAATCGGTTCTACTTCAACACGAGTTCGTTCGTTCGGCTTCAGTGTCTCTCTGATTATCGCCTTTTATTCTCCCGCAGCTTGATTACATATTCTATACGCATATGATTTATTATTCTAATGGCTCCCAATAGATCCCAAAATTTTATACCTAATTATTTACACCCTACTTCTCTTTTTTTTTTTAAATACAAAAAGTTAACAAGAACAATTCGAATGGAAACGTTAAACGAAATTTCCCTTGGAACTGAACGATCGAGTTGCTGCACTTCGAAATCTTATGGCATTCTACTAACCGCATCCACATTCACATGCTTCTCTCCACACTTATGTTCTAATTCGATGTCATATTCCTGAAGGGTTAAACTCCATCGCAATAATTTCCTATTCTTGTTTTTAACCTGGTTTAACCAAACTAAAGGGTTATGATCCGTTTGAAGGATAAATTTTCTTCCAAACAGATAATACCTAAATGTCTCAACTGCCCAAACTATCGCTAAGCACTCTTTCTCAGTTGTAGACAACTTCATTTCTTCTCTGGTTTTCCAAAGCTTTAATAGATTTATGTGATAAGTCCGTTTTTGTTTTCGCCCCTTTTCTCTATCTAATTCATAATTCAAGCCGTTCGTACAAACGTTAGTGACAGTGTAAGGACCCTGCCATTTGCTTTCGAGTTTACTCCCAGGCGTCGGTAACAATACCAATACTTTATCGCCAATCTGAAATTTCCTATGCGAACTTTTCTGATCATAAAGCTTCTTTTGTTTGGCTTGACTCTTTTTAGTATTTTCATGAACAATACTTTGCATTTGACTTAATCGTCGTCGCACTTCTAACACATAACTTATCGCGTCTTTGGGTAAAGATTCTTTGCGAACCCAAGTTTCTTTAATCAGTGAGAAGGGCCCACGTACACTCCTCCCATATAATAATTCAAACGGCGAGTACCCAGTCGACTGACACGGAACTTCGCGATAAGCAAACAATACATGCGGTAAATACTTATCCCAGTTATCAATTTGATTCGCTACAAATTTCTTAAGCATATGTTTTAAAGTGCCGTTAAATCTCTTAACCAAACCATTAGCCTCTGGATGATAAACCGAGGTTTTAATATGCGAAATACCCAATAATTCGTACAACTGTCTCATCAGTTGTCCAATTAAATTAGATCCTTGGTCAGAGACTATTTCATTTGGTAGGCCCACCCGTGAAAATACACTAATTAACGCTTCAGCAATAACGCGAGAATGAGTTGTTTTCAGCGGAATTGCTTCCGGATATCGAGTACCATAATCAATCAAGGTCAAAACATATTTGTACCCTGTTTTTGTTTTTGGTAATTCACCTATCAAGTCGATTGCAATTTTCTTAAATGGTTCAGATATTGTTGGGACCGGATTTAGTGGAGCTCTACTCATAATTGATTTTCGGGCCACTAATTGACATTGTGGGCACGTTGCACAATAATCTTTTACTTCCGTATATAAGTGTGGCCATGAAAAATGTCGAGATATCCTTTCGTATGTTTTCTCTTGTCCCATGTGCCCTGCAAGTGGAATAGAGTGACCTACCCTCAATATTTCTGGCCTATATGCTTCTGGGGCCACAACCCTGTCAATAAAGGGCAATCCATCATGCGGGTATTTTGTAAATTTTCTATGCATAATAATACAATTTAGGTAGAAATAACCATCTGTGTCTTTCGGTGGTACATTTAAAATAGTTAAATTATGTAAAGTAACATCTTTCTTTTGATCATTAATTAATTGTGAGTGACTACGGTCTATAAAATATTTGTTTCTAATTGACAGCCATTTTCAGAGGAGTCTATATCTGCAACCGGTTCTTTTACGCATACTTTCTCGGGATCAGGTTGCGTGATAACATTATTATCTTCACCAAATAAATTATTTAATTCGATAGTCTCAGATAATTCATCTTTTGTGGGTTCCTTAGGGCTTAGAGTCTTAATAGCTAATTCATTTTGTTTATCTGTCAACTTATCCAATCTAGTTTGAGCTTTCACAAGCGCTGCTTGTCTTCGAGTAACAACTAAAGCGTACTTATTCTTGTCACTATACACCACTGTCGGTTCTATATTTAAGTCGACAGCTTGCTCCCAATGATCAAGAAAATTTTTCTTGGCTAAAGACTTGCCATAGGACGAACGCCCAAGTAAACAATCTACGGGGAGATTTCTCATAACCCCCACTAATTCTCGATGTATCCCTTGTTCACTACTTATGGTTACCCATGCTAAAGGGACTTCGACTCTATCACCATTTGCAGTGATAACGGTAATATTTTCACCAGTAAAACTATTTTTTCTAACAAGGTTTTCATGCACCAAAGTCCTTGAACAACCAGAATCGATTATCATTTGGACTTTGTCTCGTTTAAATTCCCTACTATGGAACTTCCAAGGGTATTATATCCCTTAGTCATTCCTAACAATGCCGCATTTTGGGTTTTTTTCTTTCGGCACTTGACTTGTCCAATTTATCTTGAAATTTCCCAAAGTCTGGCTTATCTGGATTTCCCTTATTATTTTCGTAACCTTTATCTCTCATTTTGCAAAAATCATCATTCCTAGGCTTATTATTATTTCGTTTGGCACTAACATATTTACCATCAATTAAGGGCCCCTTTCTACTTTGTACACAATCATTCGCTAAATTTGCCAATTTCCCTGCGGTATTGGGCTTTCTCTCTTTCAACCATACTTGTAATTCAAGGCCAACCCCATCTAACAATCGTTCTATAACAATTTGTTCTAATATTTTTTCTCGGGTGTCTATGGCCTCTGCCACAGTCATCCATCGGTTCAAGTATCTACGGGTTCTGTGAGCCCACTGGCCAAAATCTTCGCCAGCCTTTTTTTCTGAATGGCGAAATCGATATCTATAATGGTCAACATTAAGCTGATATGCTCTTAATATAATAGCCTTACTTTTATTAAAATCCTGAGCATCTGGACCAACAATTTCTAAATATATAGACTTCGCTTTTTCGCTTAAACGGGGGATTAAACTACCTAGCCACTCGTCTTGCGAAATTAACTGGGCCTTAGCAGTCATCTCAAAAATTCGAAAATAATCATCTATATCCTCATTTTCTCTCATTTCTCGCACCTTTATAGGCTTTGGTACTCTCTGCTTAGCTACATAGATCTGATATTTCTCTCGTTCCAATTCTACTTCCCACGCTTTATCTTCCTTTTCAGCTCTCCTTTTACGCTCTTCCCGTCTCATTTCAAGTTCGTCGCGTTCTTCTGCCATATCTCTTTCAAATTGTAAAAGACGCAATCGTTTGTCAAAACTTAAGGACCCCAGGGGCTCGCGAGTACGTTCATAACTGTGGGACCCGAGGGAATTTTGCCCTTATTGCCATAGTCATGGTCACTACTGAAATTACCCGGGTCTTCTACAGTTTTTGTTGTTCGTGTTTTTAAGGCTCAAACACCCCTCTGTCAGTTTCCAATTCTACAGTCTCGTCCTCTGTTTGTACTTTTTCTACAGCTTTATCACTTGCTCTTAACCTTGCAGCAAGTGTTTTAACGCCATCTTTTGTATTAATTACAATTTCACGGCCAGTACATTCTTTTCTTAAGAGTTCTAATCCCCAATCGTCGTATTCGCTCATTATACGATTTAATTGTTCTTTCGTGATAATTGTTCACTATTAATACTATTTCTTCCTATTAACCGACTAATCCCACCGCTGCCACCATTGTGACGAATTTAAATCCGCCTGTGTGGGTGTCGGCAAATATAACTTCATATACAAAAAAAGTTTAAATATATTTTTCTATCATTTGTTTGATATAACTAAAAACTAAAACTATCACAGTGTAAATCCTATACTATTGTTGTTAACTGTCTCTCAAGCTACGATACTTGCGTCCTTTGGCGAGTTGTTCCTTCCCGTTGTTTCTTCAGCTAGTCCTGACAATCCCGATTTTGAGAGCGCTCGTTAAGTTTACCAGGGTTTTGATAACGATCCCCGCTGTCAATTCCACTACTCCTATCTCCAAATAACTTCGTCTTCACACGTTTACAGCTGAGTGTGTTGCTCAAGTCACTAAAGACTATACCAGAGCGTTTGATCATTGAAGACCCACGTAGTGTATTGCTCAAGTCACTGAAGACTATACCAGAGCATTTGATCATTGAAGATCCACCTTTCCCATATAATGTAAAGTGCGACGTTGATAACGTGTATTTCTTTCGGTTTACTTTATCAAGTTATTTCATCAGTGTGTAGACCACTCCTTAATCGGTTCTACTTCAACACGAGTTCGTTCGTTCTGCTTCAGTGTCTCTCTGATTATCGCCTTTTATTCTCTCGCAGGTTGATTACATATTCTATACGCATATGATTTATTATTCTAATGGCTCCCAGGGCAACACTGATATGATGGGGAATGCTGGTAAGGAGTTACACCATGACAATAACAGTTATGACAAAACACTCCAGTGCGATGTTTACTGTGACGGAACTTGGAAAAGGTGGGGTATTCATCATTAAATGGTCAAGTTACTACCATTTAATAATAATAATAATAATAATAATAATAATAAACTTTATTTAAAGAAGGTGCAATTATACAAAAACCAGTTTAGCAACGCTAATCTTACACTGGGCCTTCTGTTCAACTGTTATCGTCTACTTATTACAAATTTACTATTAAAACTACACATTAAATTGGACATCAGTACAACAAGAACATATAAAAGTCGTACAAACAAATAACTTATATATAAGTATCTAAAAAGTATTTATAGGCTCTTATTATAAAGGAGCTTAATGACGTTGATTGTCTGGTCGCACGTGGTAAACTGTTATATAATGTTGCACCACTGAATTTCAACGTTTTCTGCCTAATTGTTAGTTTCGTTCGCGGTATCCACAGTTCGTTGTTCTCTGAGCTTCTTGTAATTCGTTTTGTCACTGATGACTTTAAGACAAATAAGTCACTTATGTACTTGGGTACCCAGTTGTTTAATGATTTATATACCATTATTGCTGTTCGTAGCATTACTCTTTGCTGTATAGGCAGGACTCCAGCAGCTTTAAATAGTGGCCCAGAAGAGGTTAGCTTCGGTTTGTCGTAAATAATTCTCAGAGCTAACTTTTGGAGTTTATGTATGCGAATAATATGACATGATTGTCCCCAAACTGTACAGCAATAATCTACATGAGGTTGTAAGAAACACTTGTAGTAAATTACTCGGTGACCAATAGGCAAATATTCTTTGATCTGTCTCAGAAGATGAATTCCTTTAATTAGAGATTTTGCTACTTTGTCAATCTGCTGTTTCCAGGAAAGATGTTCATTCATAACAACCCCAAGTATTTTCTCATTGTTGGTATTCTTTAACTGGACACCGTTAAATTCTACTCGTAGATTTGAATTTAATGTGGCTGCGCGCTGAGATGTTGTTATCATCATTGCCTTCGTTTTACCGTCATTTATTACCATGTTGTTGTTAGTACACCAAGCTTGAACGTTTGTCATATCCTCAGTTAATTTATTATTGAGTTCCTCAACTGTTCTAGCACTTGTATGGATTGTCGAATCATCAGCATACATGTCTGTGTTGGAATTGGCATATAATGGAAGATCATTGATAAACATTATAAACAATAAAGGTCCTAGAATACTTCCTTGGGGGACACCATACAGAGAAGATTTCTTAGATGACAAAGATCCTTTAAAGTGCACACATTGGTCTCTTTCTTGCAGGTATGACTTAAACCAGGATAATGTCAAATCATCACATTTGTAAACCGCAAGTTTTCGTAATAACAAATCTGTATCTACCATGTCGAAAGCTTTGCGTAGATCAATAAATACTGCCCCATTTATGAGGCCGCTCTCCATGTTGGATGTCCACATATCGACAAGTTTGCATAGCGCTGTTTCACACGAGTGATTTCTTCGAAAACCAGATTGGGCATGATGTAATAAGTTATGACTCACGAGAAACTGGTAAAGATGATTGTGAATATGACGCTCGAGAACTTTACTGACAGCGCAGAGTATGGCTATGGGCCTGTAGTTGTTGACATCACATTTGGCACCAGATTTGTAGATTGGAATAATTTCAATGGAAACGGGTAATATAAATGCCTTGATGTCGAGATTTTGTGTAAGGTATGTCATACCTGCCAAAGGATTGATAGAGAGACAGACGATGAAAAAAGGCATTGCGTAAAGCTGACCATATAGCAAAATATAAGGCAAACTATGCAGGTTCAGCACCGTCAATGGAGACCGAGTGAGTGAAGCGAATCTTTGAATGTAGTGAAGCGACCCACAAATTACAATATACCGGGTATTTTGGTGATAGTGATAGCAGGAAGGTACCACCTATAAGGCAGGATTGTTTTAAAAAGTAAAATTGTCATTTACTGCTTTGCATTAGCTTCCACTGCTGAAATAACTTAAACCGTAAACTTTAAAGCTGTTTTTCTCAATTTGTAAAAATGGTCCGATTGCTCAATTTTCATGCAAGATATCTCAAAAACTATTAAAGATATCCCGATCAAATTTTCAGAGTTGCTAGTACATATCATGCTCCAGGGAATGAACTAGGATAATTGAGTTCTGCTGCATTTTCAAGGAGTTATCACTGTTTCAGTGATGCACGTTTCCGCATTTTTTGTGTTTGGTAGGATAAATGCTGATAATAGTTGTTCTATATGCAGTAAGGCAATGATTCTAGTCCATTCCCTGGACACTATTGTAACTATCAAAATAAAAGTTATTTTAGACTTCTATCATTAATTCTCACCTAGTTATCATGTTTGAAAATTGACCCATTTTTTCCATTCGGGCGTGGCATATATTGGTTACTATGGTAACAGTTCACTAAAGAAGTATATTTTCATGGTTGGGTGACTACCTTCAACAACACTGTGTAGTTAGATTTTTGTTTTTGACCATTTTTAGGAATTGTTTTTTTTGTATAAGACCACCTTACACTACATCGAATGTCATGTTGAATGTCATGTTGAACCGTATGCATACTTCACAATGGTTGCTACTTCGTTGTATTGAATTTCAATAGTATTAGCCTACTATTTATAATTCAAATTTTGTTTGATATTTATATTTCATGTTATTTACAAAATGTGCTGTAGTTTTGAAGCTTTGTGCACAATATAATCAGTGCAAGCACAATGGCCCCGTTTCAGTTTGAGTATATAAAAATCGAGTATTTTGATAACGTTGGCCGCTTGATATATATAAAATATAAACGCCTCAGTGAATATTAATCTGCAGTGCGAGCACAACGGCTCCAAAATCACAACAAATAACAGAATATAGGGTAGACTAAGTTAAAAACAGTAAAGCTTTACCTACCTGGCTACCTCGATTTATTTTTTCTAAGGCGCTCAATTATGTAAATTTTCTGCGAACTCGACGAAAAGCAGCATGAAAAGCACGTCGGAAAAACTCGGTATTTGTCGTATTATACGAATCTGCCACGTGACTGGTACGCTTACCGCCACCGCGACACGAAATTTAGAGCTATATGAAAGTTGCATGCCATATATGGCATGCAACAAAAAATATAATAATAAAGTAAGCAGTTCTTGCTGGGCTCATAGGACACCAGAAAATAATAAAGAAAATAATTTCCCAGGAAATATGGATTTTTATGTCACGCCTGGATTAACACGATTAGATGACATAATAGCTTTTATCTTAATCTATGGCGCGCCGGTTGAAGAGGCAGGAAATTTCAGTGCCTAAAACTACGTAACAGTGCCAAGATCAAGGTCGGATTCTTGGCATATAACGAAGATATAGCACAAGTAATTTCATAAGTCCACACGACTTGTATCAGAGCGAAACACTTGAACTTATTCTTCGACTTCTTCCTGCGTACTTTGTCAGGTTAGTATATCTTTCATTTAAATTGGCGATAAGAGTCAATTTTTATTTGTTATGGCTTTGTCTCGCCCCAAAGTTCTTGTTTTTGGTCATTCTTTTGTCAGGCGCCTGCATCGGGATTTGAAGACTCAATTTGATATGCGGGCTGCCTTAAATTTTAATTTACCCGATGTCTCCATTAAACTACATGGTATTGGGGGACGGACGGTGGACAAGCTCGTGAAATGCGATTTCGGATACGTTCAGAAGTTCCAACCCAACATAGTGATTTTAGAGGTTGGGACCAATGATTTGCCTTTAATGAAACCCGAAACTGTGGGTTCCAAAATAGACGACTTGGTTCATTTATTGCTTGGGGTAACTTCTATCCGAGCTATAGGGGTTTGCTTGGTATCTGATCGAGCCTCCTCCCCTGAGTTTAACGCAAAAGTTAGGATTCTAAATCAATACCTAACAGTAATATTTAATGGCATGCATAACGTTTTTTGTTGGAGACATAAGGGCTTCACTCGCTCATTTATCTCACCGTTTTTACCCGATGGCGTACATTTTACGCGCAGAGCTCAATATAGTTTGTACCGTAGCTACCGGGGTGCAATACTCAAGGCCATACAGCTACTTTAAACCAGAGGGGTTTATTTCCTCTATATGTTAAATAATTGGAGGCTTCGCCCTCGAATTTAATCTTGTACATTTATAAAGAATGGAGGCTTCGCCCTTCATGTCATTATGTTATTACCAATCACACTTCGCTGTGATTTTATCTGAGGCTTCGCTCTCAGTCCATATGTTGTCACCAATCGCACTTCGCTGCGATTTTAGTTGAGGCTTCGCCCTCACTGTATCTATATGTGTTATTATTTATGACCAATTTGTCATATGTCTTTTGTTTTAAGTACAAATTTTGGGCTCAGTGGTGCGGTCACCTTCGTGTGGCCAGGCTTGACCCAACCAATTTCATTTTACGATTTATTGATTCTCATGCGCAAACCTATGCGACTAAATCTTTAGCATGGCTGTGTTCTAATAGTTTTTAAAGTCATTTCTTTCAGCTCATCATGCCGTCCAACCACAATACACGTTCAAAACGCACAGCCACAACTTCTGTGCCCAATCAACCGCCTTCTCGGCGCCCTCGTAGGAGTCGTTCGTCAGCGTCAGTTGTCGTTGACAACCACACTGCCCGCAGTGGCTCCAGTCAATTTTGCTACAACATCAACGGGACCAAGTTCAGCCATTTCGCCTGCGCTACTCGAGCAAATTGTGTCGACCGTAACAGCAGAAGTAACTCGCCGCCTAACACCACTCTCGCAACCAGAGCTATCCGGTGAGGTTATTGAAGCTCCAGTGGTCACTACTACCTCAACTTCAACGGTTCCACGACTGCCTGGTTCTGCTGTCGTCGAGCAAGCGTTACATTCTGCCCATTCAGCCATTACAGGTGAGACATTCTCTGCTATACCCTCATTGCCTGGTCAACCGTACCATTCGGTAACCTTACCTCTTGACTCTCGAGTTTTCACGAAATTAAAGAACAAGATTTGGGACGATAATTTTATAGATTTTGGGTCTCTGTTGAGCAATCCAGTGATGGATAATAAGTTTCAACTTAGCGTCACGCCTTCTAGTGATGGTCTCGCTTCATCACTTTCACTTGATCCGGTAACTAAACCACAAAAGGTGGCTAGTATTTCGATGTGGATGAGCGCATTTCGTATTTTTGTCGGGGTTTATACGCAAAAATATCCTCATGAATCACCTGCGTTGATGAAGTATGGCGATATTGTGCAGGATCTGGCGGATCGAGGCCACAATTGGCGTTTTTATGACGAAAACTTTCGTTTTTTGCGACAAAGAGAACGCAGCGCACTGTCCTGGGGTAACGTGCACTGGGAATTGTGGCTTAGGTCTCAATACTCTCCCAATAAACCAGCCGCCCAAATGCAGCGCGCTGGGGTTTCTGCTAACAAACAGCCATTTCTGAACGTACCACGCGGTCATTGTTTCAAATTTCATAAAGGTGATGAATGTTCCGGCTGTGAATTTAAACATAGCTGCTTTAAATGTGGAGGCCCGCACCCCGCATTGCGATGTAATTTTCGTGGCTTTTCAAAAAAGGAGCAATTTCGAACTACCAGGTCAAACCAGCACAATATCGCTTCCAACGCCAATAAAACTAAATCATCTTAGATATTTTTTACAAGGTTATATTTTACAGGATACTGCAACACCTATTTCAGGTTTTACTACCGGTTTTTCTTTACATTTTCACGGCACTATAAATCTTAACGAAGGCAAGAATTTGCCTTCCGCGTTAAATAATGAAAGTGCAGTTGATCAAAAATTATCTAAGGAATTAGCTGCTGGCAGACTGGCCGGACCTTTTATTGCGGCGCCATTTCATCCCTTTCGAGTTTCTCCCCTTGGTCTTGTACCCAAAAAGTCTCCTGGCGAGTTTCGTCTGATTCACCATTTATCTTTTCCTCGCGGATCGTCAGTCAATGATGGCATGACACCTGACAATACGAGTGTCCATTACGCCACAGTGGCTGATGCTATTCGTTTAATAAAGGCTGCTGGGAAAGGTTGTTTTCTCGCGAAAACAGACATTAAAAATGCGTTTCGTATTATTCCAATTCGCCCAGAAGACCATTGTTTACTCGGAATGAAATGGCGCGGCAAGTATTATTATGACCGTCGCCTACCTATAGGCGCAGCGAGTTCATGTAAAACTTTTGAAACTTTTAGTACTGCCATTCAATGGATTTCTCAACAAAAACTTAGCATACCAGCTATTCTACATTTTCGTGATGACTTTTTGCTGGTAGCTGCGTCCTATGATTCCTGCTTGACTCAGTTACATCGATTTCTCAATTTTTGCCCTTTTGTTGGTTTACCTATGGTCCCAGAAAAGACATGCGGTCCGTCAACGACGTTGTCTTTTGCGGGTATTGAGTTAGATACCATAAAACTTGAGGCGCGTTTACCTTTAGATAAATTACGCAAATGTACTGATTTTATCACCGCATTTCGACAGCGTAAGAAAATCACATTAAGAGAATTGCAATCTTTAATTGGCCTCTTAAATTTCGCCTGTTCTGTCATCATCCCAGGACGGGCATTTTTGCGTCGCTTAATTGACCTCACCACGGCATCCGTTTATCTCATCACTTTATTAAGCTCAATCGCGAGTCAAAAGAGGATTTAAATGTTTGGCTCACGTTTCTTGCCAGTTATAATGGCCGGTCGTTTTTTATTGACGAACAATGGGCCAATTCTCAGCAACTAAGTTTATTCACGGATGCTGCGAGTGGTGTCGGTTTCGGCGCAATATTTGGCTCAGAATACTGCTATGGTTTATGGCTTGATACATGGCGGCATCGGAACATTGCAATTCTAGAGTTTTATCCGATTGTACTGAGTTTATGCTTGTGGGGTCATAGGATGGCAAACCGCAGTGTTTTGTTCTTCACTGACAATGAGGCTCTGGTTTACGTCATCAATAAGCAATCATGCAGGGACAAAACTTTGATGCAATTTGTTCGTAAGCTTGCAACACAATATCTTATTCAAAGCTAAACATATTCCAGGGACGTACAATCGTTTGGCTGATCTCTTGTCTCGCTTTCAGGTTCAAACCTTCAAGCGCGAGGCACCAGCCTCGATGAATGTCTGCGCAACGGGCATCCCTACAGTTCTGCTGCCACAAAATTGGGGGATATTATTCCCCTCCTAACCCAGTCAAGCCTGCGGCAATCCTCTATCGCTACATATAGGCAAGCGTGGAGAGTTTTCGACCAATTCCATATTCATGTTTTTGGTACATCTTCCTACATATTGCCTATATCACCTCACATTGGCTATCTTTAAAACAGGGAACGGGGAATCGGGGAATCCGGGAATCGGGGAATCCGGGAATCGGGGAATCCGATAACAATTTTATAAAAATTTAAATAAAAATTTTATTCAATTTACAATTTATGCAATAAAAGAAAATGAAGCTTAATCGAAAGTTTGACGTCACACCAAAATTGCAGGACACGAAGTCGTGAAAAAAAAAACAGTTTAATACTTTTAAACGGGCATTTAATGTAAACTTCACGCAGGATATAAACTAAAGCGAATGTTTAATAGCCATGATTGCGCTAATTTAAAGAGTTTCGGTATGCATTGTCGCCATTTTTTGTTGGCACTTACATGTAATATAATATTTCATTGCTTTGATTGTGATTGCGATTGTCAAATATAATAGCGGTAACACGTTTGCAAGTCGCTTTTTCCTGCTGACATTCATGATATATAATATGATATTTCATTGCTTTGATTGTGATTGTCAAATATAATAGCGGTAACACGTTTGCCAGTCGCTTTTTCCTGCTGACATTCATGATGTCTGGAGTGCATGGAAGCCGGCTTTAAAATGCCATCGCTATTAAAGCGAAGGCGAATAGATCATGGTCTGCCTCCAACTGTAGTTTTACTAACCAAGACTGAAGACCAGAGATAAATTTGTACAACAGAAAGTCTGAAACTATACTTTAACAAAACTTTATTTGTAAATGTTGCGGAGTTTGTACTTTGCTCTCGCCTGATTATGTTTTTCGTGACTTCGACCGTTCGAGTTGTACGGGAAAATAGAGAGTTTAAGTTCGACTTCGAATACCGATACCAACAACAGGTCATGTTCATGCGCTGTGGTCGCAAAAAGCACGAGGGCAAGCGCAAAAAGAGCGACTTCGCTCAGTCAATTTAAGCGTAGTATTGCGGAACTGTCCTTTTAGAACCATGTTGATTAATTATAGTTAACTCTCTTTATTTACTTTACTTCACTTTATTTTTCTCAGTTTGTTGTTGGGGGGAGGTTGGGGGGTTCATATAATATTCCATATATTCTACTGTTTTATATATCAGGCCCCAACTGTAAGTCAGCTTTTAGTTGTGCGAGGCTAGCGTGTTTTGATTTTAAATAAAATTGATTGATGATGATGATGAGGCACGTAGCGAAGCATCTGAAGTTGAGGGGTGTCGGAGGATTTTACCTGAAATACAACTCGAACGGTCGAAGTCACGAAAAACATAATCAGGCGAGAGCAAAGTACAAACTCCGCAACATTTACGAATAAAGTTTTGTTAAAGTATAGTTTCAGACTTTCAGTTGTACAAAGACCAGAGCTTCAGTCTTGGTTAGTAAAACTACAGTTGGAGGCAGAGCATGATCTATTCGCCTTCGCTTTATTAGCGATGGCATTTTAAAGCTTCCAAGCACTCCAGACATGAATGTCAGCAGAAAAAAAGCAGTCTCCTATTCCTCTTTGTTTGAACCGGCTCACCAAACTCTTAAGAGACGGTGAAGTAATTGGTTTTAAATTAACCTTTACCGACTATAAACACAATTACAATCAGCGACCGTTTTCTATGGTTATTTATCGTCAACCAAGTCATAGCCCCTGCCCAGTAAAACTGTTATGTCGCTATTTAGCCTGTCGTGGCAATTCCTCTGGACCTATTTTCATTACTCCTGCGGGGGCGGCAGTGTCGAGAAACATGTTTGCTAAACAGCTGAACGACTGTCTAAAATTTTGCAATCTCAATCCTTCCATTTACAAGTCTCATAGTTTCAGAATTGGTGCTGCATCATTTGCGGCAGAACATGGGGTGTCTGATGCGCAGATACGCATTCTGGGTCGTCGGAAATCGAATGCATTTCACAAGTACATCCGCGTTCAAACGCTTACTACAACATAACCTGTATTATTTTAACACCCTCTTTTAAACAGCATTGCGGGGTGATGTCTAAAGGAGGGTTACAATTATGGCTTATGGTGTTATTCAGCAGGGGCGGATAACACCATTTCTGCCAAAATACACATTATAACTTACATATATATTTAACTTGGCAGTTAGCAGGGGCAACTGTTACTATGCTATCCAATTGTAAATGATATTGCACGGTGAGCAGGGGCCACTGTATTCAAATAATTGAATGTGTCACCAACAAACACTTTATACCTAAGCGGCTAGCAAGGGCGGTCGTTTCAACATTTATGGAAACAGTCATCCTGAACGATGTTTTCAATTTCGACGGTGCGCAGTGGCGTCTGTCTTTTCTAAATCAAATGTTATTGTGTATCCAATATTATTTGTATATGATACACTGACTTTCCAGTGGGATGCATTATTGTAGTCCTTGGCGTTGCATTTCCCTCGGGTGGGGAGACTTTTATATTCATTTCCTCCTTTTGCGTACTGGGAAATGAATTGCAAAGTCTTTGGCGTGTAGTCCTGCCACCTTTACTGGCAATTGAACATCAATATATAAATCAAAATGAACTCTAGTATTATTCTGATGATTAAAATATGTTATTATTGATTTTTATATAATCATTTTCAATAAAGCGGCTATGAATTGTTTATAGCCAAAATTTACCCATAAAGACATTGTCCATTTATTGCTTGCCAGTAAACATATAACGACATTGTCCATTTATTGCTTGCCAGTAAACATAGCTTGGTTAATGCAACGCTAATTGGATATCCGTAGTCTATTAACTGAAGGAAGGCGTGACATAAAAGGTATATGTGGAATATTTGAGAAGTAAACTTTGAGATTAAGTGTAAATATGTTAATAAACGAGTTTCGTTTTTATTCTTTTGATAAATTTGAGAGTTCTTAAAAGAACCGGTGTTTTGTGTTTGTCTTTACTGTTGCAGCCACATCGCAAAGGCTTCGACTTCGACTTTTGCGCAGTGTTGATAAGCGTTGCTTTCCAGGTGGTTCCCGCAGGTTTCTAACCAGATCAGTTGATCAAATAGTTTTTCAGCTTTGGGACAATTAAAGCATTCCAAATTTACGGCCGGAATACGGAGACTCGCCAGCAAGTCCCTTTCGTAATGTCGGCCTTTGAAGGCAATTGTAGAGTTTGAATAGATACAGATACAGATATTTCACAGCACACTCCCTATATCAAAGCTTTTCAGTGACTGGTTACATTATGAATAGATAGATAGAACCGGACTGACGTGAAGCAGACCGAGGTAGACTTTGAGCTTACAAATGGCGCTTGAGCAGCTGCCGCTATTAGTCCATACCTCATTAATGATCTGCCTCCAGACCTATGTGCCTAACCCACCCTTGTCAACTTTCCCTGTGGGAGGAAACACGGAGTGCCCGGAGAAAACCCACGACTTTCGGTAGAGCGTTGACTTTTACTCTTTTCACATGAGGACTGGGTTCGAGTCACATTGAGAAGTTCTCACTGAGATTCGAACCTGCGACCTTAGAGGTGAAAGGCAAGTGCGCTATCCACTTGGCCACCGAAGCCCCATAATCTATCTGTATTTCACGGTAGAAATTCTCTACAATTGCCTGCAAGTCCGAAATTTGAAATGCTTTAGTGCCCCGTGGCACTCCAAACGGGAGTCTATGTATATTCTCCTGGACGAAGTTACACGTTCTCTTGTCTTTTTCGTTGAGCTCGTTCCAGTGTAAACCAATATCGAAGAAGAACGACGATGCTTCAGAGTCTCCGACCTTTATGACTCCCAACTCCTTACAGAAAAATTTCTTTCCAATTTGAAATCCGTCCATGTCAAGGATCCCGATGATGTCTGCTTTACACTGCATGTTGACTGATTGATTGCGATGTGAATTAGATTGTTTGAAACACTATAATCTGTGCTCTTGCGTGCGATATAACTATCGCGTGTACAAAATGTTAATCCATGTGTTAATTTATGCATGCAGTCAACCAACGCGGTAGCTTTGGCAACAACATTTTGCTCTTAAAATCAGTGCGATTTATATAGGGACACTTCTCAAAGTGTCCCGCAAGCAAATCCCGGGTGTCCCGTAGAAACTTCCCTGCGTTTCGTGCGTATGAGCACAAGCTGATAACTGCTCATGAGCACATGCTCATCTGCTCATAAAACTGCAATACTGCTCAATAGCAAGACATTTCTGCACAATCAGTGCTAACGGAATGAGCTGCCAATTTTGCGGAAAGCAATTTTATCGTGATTACAATCTACGAAGACACGAAAAGGAATACTGTCCCCTAGGTGCACAAGAAAGAAACATGTCTCAAACGGACTTGGATAGCCAGGAAAGGGATTTTCAAGACAACGTTTCGATAAATTCAACTAAAGTGTCTGAAATTTCGACGATGACTGATAATAAGTCAAAAACTGAAGAGGAAATGGATCCTTGGATACCGTTAATAGAAGAAGCAAAGCAAATAAGTAATATAGCATTTGAGGAAATGAAAGAAAGCCTTATCAACAGTGGTCTAGATGAACAATCCGCTAACGACAAAGCTTACTCTAATATTCTTCCTAAACTCCAGAAGGAACTGGAAAATATTTATGTGGAGCGTCTCGTGTGGATGAAACAGCTAAAGAAAGATCCAGTTCATAAGAAGATTATGCACACAAAAATAGCACTTGTGGAAAACGATGATTTTGATCCAGAAGAAGCGTTAGAAGCAGCTGTTGATATGAGAAAGTTTCTTATAAAAAGGCTTTTAAAGGGTCACAAATTTGATGAGGAGAATGATGATGATGATGAAGAGAATGATGATTAGACTCGATTAATAGGATTGAAGTCGTGTATTCAAACAGTATTAGCTCGTAAAAACATACCAGTATAGACCCAGCATGTAAATTGTGAGTCATTCAATAAATTGCTTTTTAATTACTTGTCTTTTCTTGTCATTTTTACATCGGTCAGGCGGGTACAAATCAAAATGGCAAAAACATGCGAATACGAAAATGTATACATTTGTGTACATAAACTTTGCAGTGGCTTCCACGAAAAATGTACACCCAGTCTTCGGGCCTAAACGGGTCTTATGAGCAGATGAGCATGTGCTCATGAGCAGTTATGAGCAGGTGCTCACACGTTCATGCAGGATGAGCATGTGAGCATGTGCTCATGAGCAACTATGAGCATGTGCTCATACGCTCATCGCATAAGATTGTATACCCGACATAATTTTGAAAATCTAACAGCGCAAGATGCCTTTGCGTCACTCAGATAAATACGTCTTTCTTCACTTGATGGTGAATGTATGCCAAATGATTTGATAATTTGCAAAGGTTTCTCTTTCCGCACAGCAGACAATCGCGGCTTTACGCGTTCGCGGCATCGAGCGAAAATATTCCTCTTGTCAAACGGGACGCAGGGACATTGCTACGGGACGCCCGGGACTTGCTTGCGGGACACTTGAGATATGTCCCTATATGCGGGACGAAGGGACTTTCTTACGGGACGCCCGGGACTTGCTTGCGGGACACTTTGAGAGGTGTCCCTATATGAGGGACGCACGGGACGTCCTTACGGTACGCATTTTAACGTGTCCTTGCGTCCCGTAAGACTGTACTTATGGTTAGACCCATATAGGTTACATAATTCATTATTATTACCAGTTTGACATAAGTAGCGTAAGGATTAAACTATAGATTGGTATCACTGAATACGTCACTAACATACTGAAA